TTATAGTATCTTTTGAAGTGAAGTAGTGTGATGACTCCAGCTTTGTTCTTTTTTCTCAGGATTGCTTTGGCTATATAGGGTCTTTTGTGGTTTCATATGAATTTAATTGCTTTTTCTATATCTGTGAAGAATGTCATTGGTATTTTGATAAGCATTGCATTGAATCTGTAGATTGCTTTGAGTAGTACAGACACTTTAACAATATTAATTATTGCAGTCTATGAACACGGGATATCTTTCCATTTTTTTTCCTGTGTCCTCTTTCTTTCATTAGTGTTTTATAGTTTTCATTGTAGAGCTCTTTCAACTCTTTGGGTAAATTCATCCCTAGGTGTTTTTTTATTGTTGTTGTTGGTTTTGTTTTGTTTTTGTAGCTGTTATAAATTAAACTGCTTTCTTGATTTTTTTCAGACTGTTCACTGTTAGCAAATGGAAATGCTACTGATTTTGCATGTTGACTTTGTATCCTCCAACTTTACTGAGTTCATTTAGCAATTCTAACAGTTTTTGGCATCATCTTAAGGTTTTTCTAAATATAAGATCATGCCATCTGCAAACAAGGACAATTTGACTTATTTTTTTTTTCTTTTTTTCTTTTTTTTTTTTCGAGATGGAGTCTCGATCTCTCACCCAGACTGGAGTGCAGTGGCGCGATCTTGGCTCACTGCAAGCTCTGCCTCCTGGGTTCAGGCCATTCTCCTGCCTCAGCCTCCCAAGTAGCTGGGACTACAGGCGCCCGCCACCACGCCTGGCTAATTTTTTTGTATTTTTTAGTAGAGACAGGGTTTCACCATGTTAGCCAGGATGGTCCCAATCTCCTGATCTCGTGATCTGCCCACCTCAGCATCCCAAAGTGCTGGGATTACAGGCGTGAGCCACCATGCCCACCTGACTTACTTTTTTTCTATTTTGAATGTCCTTTGTTTCTTTCTCTTGTCTAATTGCTTGGGCTAGAACTTTCAATACTGCATGGAATAAAAGTGGTGACAGTGAACATCCTTGCCTTGTACCAGATCTTAAAGGAAAGGCTGGACATTAGTTGGATGTTAACTGTGGATTTGTCATATATTACCTTGATTGTTTTGAGGTGTGTTCCTTCTATACCCCATTTGTCAAGGGTTTATGAAAAGATGATGAATGTATGTTAAGGGAAATAAGCCAGGCACAAAAAGACAAATATTGCATGTTTTCACTCATGTGGAAACCAACAAAGTTTATCTCATGGATATAAAGAGTAGAATGGTGATTAACAGAGATTAGTTAATGTAGGGGGGAGGTAGGGATAAAGAGAGGTTGGTTAATGGGTAACAAAAATACATTTCAATAGAAGGACTAAGTTCTTGTGTTCAATAGCACAGTAGGCTATCATTTTTGTATTTCACAATAGCTAAAGAGGAAGATTTGTGATGTTCCCAATACAAAAAAAATTGATACAAGTCTGAGGTGATCAATATCCCAGTTACTTTGATTTGATCATTATGTATTATATGCATGTATCAAAATATCACATGTATCCCATAAATATTATATGTACAATTATTATGTATACATTGAAAATGTACATTGAAGACCCATAGTGACAAGTGGTTTTTAATTTGGTTCAATTTATATTTCAGATTAAAGGTTATTTGGAGATTTAGTTCAAGAAACTTTTAGCTCAGATGTGCTAAACCCAGTCTTGAGCACAAAGAAAGGAACCCCACATCCTCCTTTTGTCTCCCTGGATGAGGCAGTGAGAAGGGGTCAAAAGGGCTTGGGGGTCTGATGGAAACAGTACCTTATCCTAACGCCTTCCATGAGACAGAGTTGTTGCTGGGAAAAGCTGACCCCTAGGGACTATTCTGCCTGTTGTCTTGAGTCCAGGTGTTGCTGAGTGAACGCTCCACTCAATGGGTTGTGAGCAGGGTGTTGCCTGTCACTTCCAGGAGGGGAGAGTGGAGATGCCTGGGGCTAGCATGCAGTGAACTGCATAGTGACCCAGGGGAACTATCGGAGAGGCTTTCATGTCTTCACTGGGGTGGAGGGTAGTTACAAGGGCAGGTTTGTTGATGCTCATCAGACTGCACATATACATTTTATTGTATGTAAATCCTGCCTAAAATGTAATTCTGTATACAAGTTCATTCTAAGTAAAATCAACCAACATGGGCAAAAGAACTTTACAAATTACAAAGTACTGTGGAAAGACAAGGCCATTGTCATTAGTCCAACCATACAGTGTGAGTCTGTGAAGTTTCTCAGACATGGGGGCTTATCCTAGAGCCCAGGCTGGGCCTAAGGAAAAGTTACCAGTAAGGGGCTTTAGCTTAGGTGCAAAGTACAAGACCTGGCTCAGGGGCCAGAGGACAAGAGTCTAGAGTTAAGCATGAACAGCCAGGAGGAAAAAAAGGTAGACACACAGGCAGGAGTGGCACTCTGCTGAATTCCCTGCTCTGGGTAAGGAGGTGGGAGCCAGTAATGCAAATGGAAGTTCATTAGGGTACTAGTTTATACTCCATTAACAGGATGAAAAGCATCTACCCCTGGGCAGTACCCACTATTTCTGTTTAACTTTGCTACCCTGTCTTTCTGCTCTCTTTCCACCTTCAGCCTGCAGTCTAGGCAAGCTTCCCAGAATAGAAACCCAATCCCACTCTTACTATCTCACTTAACTATACATTGACTCCCCATGGCCTTCAATTTAAAGCCAGAGTCATCTACAATGCTGTGGAGACCTCTCTGGGCTCTGGTCCTGCTTGCCCTTCAGGCAGGCTCCCATGTGACCCTTTGCAGTTCCCCAAACTTGTCGCTGCTTCCTCACATCAACATGGAGCACTGGGGCTTCCAGGAGACATTAAGAACCAGCTAGCTGGTAGTTCAGACAATGCAGATGGGAGGCAGAGAAGCCCCCGTTGCTGTCTGTGAGGCCATAGTGTCAGCAGCCACGGAGGGCCTAGGAAGGCGAGTAAAGTGTATACGAGATTCTGAGACTGAGACAGAAGCAGCTGTAAACTTAGTGAGGTTGACATCGTCAGAGGGAGCTGAGCAGGGACAGTTCCTTCTACATCAGCATTTCTTGTGGCCTCTCTTCCCACTGTCTTTAGGGAGCACCCTCCAGACTGCAATCTTCTACTATTAACATTTACTCCTTGCCAAGCTCTGTGCTGAGCTTCACAGGGAGAACTATGTTGACAGACCTCACAACCCCATGTAGCAGACCTTATCACTATCCCCATTATACACTTGGGGAAACTAAGGCCCAGAGAGGAAAAGTCTCTTGCTCAAGGTCCCATGGCTGGATTTACAAGCATAAGTGATGGATGTCACTGCCAGCCCTGGCCCCTGGGCAATTCTGCACAGCCCTCCAGGCGCTCTCTCTTTGTACTTATCAGCTGGCTACAGACAGAGCACTTAACTGAGAGTCCAATGGGTCATGGGGGATGGTGGAACTGTGGGAACAAAGAAGCATGACACCTTCCTTACTCCTGGAGAAGAGCAACCCTGGACAGATGTCCAACCAGGAGCATCTATATGGAGTTTAAGTTGCTGAGAAATAAACTCCCATTGTGTGATTTTTTTTTTTAATAAGGTATACTTGTTATAGCAGCACAACCTAGCCTATTATATTAAGAAGTAATAGCAACTTTACAATGGAGAAACCTGAAAGATATTAACCTTAACCAAGGTTAACATCACCAGTAATATGACTCGTTGACGTCACGTATCTCCTGATAAAATGCACTGAGACGGGCATATCATTGCCGTGGTTTTCTTGCCAAAAATGCATCACCTCAATCTGCTCACAAGAAAACTTCAGACGAGCTCAGATTGGGAAACATTCTACAAAATGGCCAATAATCTTCCTAATTCTCGAGGTCTTGGTAGATGCCAGAACTGCCACCATTTGAAGGAGACTGAGGGGACATGACAATTAAATGCAAAGAATTGGATCCTGGATCAGGAAAAAAAAGACATCCATAGAAACTGGTGAAATGCAAATGAGGTCTGTTCGTGAGCAATATTGTTTCTGTGAACATTTCCTGCTTTCAGTAACTGTGCCGTGATTATCTAAAATGTGAACGTGAGGAGAAGCTGCATGAAGGAGATAATGGAATTCTGTGTACTAATTTTTGCAAGTTTTCAGTAAGTCTAAAATTCCATTTCAAAATCACAAGCTGAAATCAGTAAGAGTACATGTGGTGATGAGTTGCCATCCGAGGACCTTTATGGTGGCTTTGTCCACGGTGCATTGCCAGCAATCCTGGCTAATGTTGACCCACATCAGTTTACAAAAAAATATTTATTACCGCAAACCCCATTTTTCCAAGCTCAGCTCAAGGCCCACCTTATTTACTAGACCTGGACCTCTGGGCATATTCAATTGAATGGTTTTCTTGCTCCCTTGGCATTTGATAGGGAGTTAGTAACTGTGTGTTTGATTATAAGCTCCCTGAGGGGCCGGACTGGGGCTCTGTGACCACATTCCATTCTGCACAAGGCTGCAGAAAACTTCCTCAGCCAGGAATGGAGCCTGGCATTGCAGCTTTCCCAGTGACTTACTCGTGTCCCTGCCTGGGAAGGCTCGTCAGTAGGAGCATGCTGGTCTTCAGCAGCCCCTCCAACCCTCCTTGGGCCCCCATCGTGATAGGACCCTGAGATGATGCTGTTTTCTTCACTCGCTGTGGACTTCTGACCACAATCAGGACAACTGTTGAAGAGCCATATATTGGCCAATACTGAAGGAGCTTCTGTACTGGGGTCAACACAGGCCTTATAAGGTAGGCAGGGAGCTGCTTGTGTGTGACAGTGTGGATGGTGGCATGTCCGTCCCCAGAGGTGCAGGGCTGCAAGGTCGAGGGGTTGGCTTCCCAGAAGCACGATGAGCAGGGATGTCACCAGATCCCAGAAACAAACGTGCACAGTTTCAAAGGCAAGAACCCCACCTGCAGCCCAGGAGTGGGAGGTGGTGCTGGATAACAGCTCAAATGAGGCCCAACCCAGAATGCATCAGGACAGATTTGGGCAGTGAATGAACCAGCGCTTTAATAATGGAGAACAAGGGAGCTGTCAGCATTACCTGGAGACCTGTGACTCCCACTTACTGGAAAGTTAAATGGGGCAGGGCGGGGAAAGAGGGTGTCAGCACCCCATGGGGTGCTCTGGACCTCAGAGCAGCAGAAATGGGGTGCTGGGCAAAGTGCAACCCCAGGACCTCAGGGCCACAGTCCCAGCAGAAGGAGGCTGGCAAAGGCCAAGAGGCTGAGGGAAGCTTTGAAGCCCATGTTGTGGGAAGTGGTCGGTGTAGACGTGGGGGTTAAGCTGTTTACATTTGCACACTCAAACTTTCGAAAGATGATGCCTCCAAAAGTCTTATTTTCACCAGACAGGAACTGACAGGTGGCGTTACTGACATTGGAACAGCCATTCACCACGAGACTGTTAGACTCAGTGTCTGTGAATGCAAAGGAGACAGGAGGGATGCCACTCAGTCCTTTGTCCTTCCACTGCTCTCAGTTCGTCACCTGCAGCTTGGTGGCCCGGTGACCGGCAAGAGCTGGTGTGCTCCTGAAACCCAGGCACGAAGGAGCCTGCGTGTTCAGAGTCAAGAACACCACGTGGCAATAGCAGAGAGACCCTGGAGGTCAGAGGCCTAGACTCCCACTGCCACCTGACCCTGGAAGAAGCAGACTCCTGGGGCGAGTGGCCAGCCCAGGCTAAACAGTGAAGGTCAGAGCTGGACCTGGGACTCACATCTCCCATGTTCCTGTGTAGCTGGAAGGTGAGGAAACCAGGAACAGGTTCAAAAGGCAGTTCTCTGTTCTCAGTTCAGGAAGGGGTCAATACCTTGGGATCCCCTCTCCCCTTCCAGGCTTTGTTTTCTGTCCTCACTCCTCTCTGGACCTGAGTCCTCCCTGCCTGAGTTTTCCCCGAGAAGAAGGAAGGGCCACCAGGAGGGATGTAAGAGACCACGTCTTGTCTCTGCCATAAATTGGGGTTCTGCTATGTTTAATCATGTTTTGAGATTCAGGTACTAGAAAAAGGCCTAGGGTGTTTGCACAGAAGACGTAGTTATGATAGCAGCTGCCTGTTATTGAGCACGTACTGTGTGCCCCAATTACTCTGTCAGCTGCAATTCACACAACCCTGGAGACAGGCACCTCACAGAGGCCAAGGGACTCACGGAGGTGAAGTGACTCCACTCACCACTTGTCAGAGGCAGGGCTGCAATTTGAGTTCAAGGCCGGCTCTAGGACCAGGCATGGTGGCTCATGCCTGTAATCTTAGCACTTTGGGAGGCTGAGGTGAGAGGATTACTTGAGGCCAGGAGTTTGAGACCAGACTGGGAAACATTGTCTCTACAAAAAATTAAAAAGTTATCCAGGGGTGGTGGCACGTGCCTGCAGTCCACTACTGGGGAGGCTGAGATGGGAGATCAACTTGAGCCAGGAGTTTGAGGCACTGGTGAGCCAGTGATCACACCCCTGCATTCTAACCTGGGCGACAGAGCAAGACCCTGTCTCGAACAGCAACAACAACAATGGCTGATTCTAAACTTGCTTGGAAAAGGAGTGGGAAACCTCCAAATGCTGTTTTATAGCAAGCATCAGTGCTGACGTTTTTTGTTTTGAGATGGAGTCTCGCTCTGTCGTCCAGGCTGGAGTGCAGTGGTGCAATCTTGGCTCACTGAAGGCTCCATACCCCAGGTGCAAGTGGTTCTCCTGCCTCAGCCTCCCGAGTAGTTGGGACTACAGGTGCATGCCACCACACCTGGCTAATTTTTGTATTTCTAGTAGAGACAGGGTTTCACTATGTTGGCCAGGCTGATCTTGAATTCCTGACCTCAAGTGATCAGCCTGCCTTGGCCTCTCAAAGAGCTGGGATTACAGGCATGAGCCACCGCACCTGGCCAGTGCTGAAGACTGAGTTAGAGTGAGTTAAGGAGATGTGTTTCATGGAATATTTCTACTGTATTTTAAAAAAGTGATCTTGAACAAAAAGAAACAAAAATACCCCTACATTTATGATAGCTTTGATCTGTCTGGCTTTCAGCGTAAGTCAAGTCCTATGAGAAAGAAGAAAATCAATCCCTTTTATCAGACCTGGGGACAAGATAAGTAGAGAGAGAAAAATCTTTCTGATGTCATGTTGCCTTAGGACACAGCTTTAGAATTTAAAATCATAGCAGTTTAGACATCCCAGAAATTTTAAAAGTGAAAGGCACTTTAAATGGATATTACTAAGGAAAGAAGCCGTTTTGAAAAGGCTACATACTGTATGATTTCAACTATAGGATAGTGTGGAAAAGGCAAAACTCCAGAGACAATAACAAAGATCAGTGGTTGTCAGAGCTTGGAGGGCAGGGAGGGGTGAGTAGGTAGAGCACAGAGGAATTTTAAGGCAGTGGAAATGCTCTATATGGTACTACTACAATGGTGGACGTATATCATTATAATTTGTCCAAACTCACGGAATATGCAACACCAGGGGAGCCCTAATGTAAGCTGTCAACTTTGGATGATGCTGTATCAATATAGCCTCATTGCTTAGAACAAATGTACCTCTCTGGTGAGGATGTTGGCAGCGGGGAGGTTATGCTCTGGTGGGATGATGGCAGCGGGGAGGTTATGCTCTGGTGGGGATGTTGGCAGCGGGGAGGTTATGCTCTGGTGGGGATGTTGGCAGCGGGGAGGTTATGCTCTGGTGGGGATGTTGGCAGCGGGGAGGTTATGCTCTGGTGGGGATGTTGGCAGCGGGGAAGTTATGCTCTGGTGGGGATGTTGGCCCAGGAGTTGCTCTCCTGGTGGGAGGATGTTGGCAGCCCAGGAGGTTATGCTGTGTTGGGGATGTTGGCAGCGAGGAGGTTATGCTCTGGTGGGGATGTTGGCAGCGGGGAGGTTATGCTGTGTTGGGGATGTTGGCAGCGGGGAGGTTATGCTCTGGTGGGGATGTTGGCAGCCCAGGGGGTTATGCTCTGGTGGGGATCTGTTGGCAGCGGGAGGTTATGCTCTGTTGGGGATGATGGCAGCGGGGAGGTTATGCTCTGGTGGGGATGTTGTGGCTGGAGAGGTTATGCATGTCAGGTAGATGGGAAATTTCTATCACTTCTGCCCAATGTTGCTATGATCTAAAACCCTACTCTGAAAAATAAAGTATATTTTAAAAAATAGTAAAAAGATGTTCAGGGCTGGGTGGCTCACACCTGTAATCCCTGGCAGCGGGGAGGTTATGCTCTGGTGGGGATGTTGGCAGCTGGAGAGGTTATGCATGTCAGGTAGATGGGAAATTTCTATCACTTCTGCCCAATATTGCTATGAATCTAAAACTACTCTGAAAAATAAAGTGTATTTTAAAAAAATAGTAAAAAGATGTTCAGGGCTGGGTGCTGTGACTCACACCTGTAATCCCAGCACCTTGGGAGACTGAGGTGGGCAGATCACCTGAGGTCAGGTGTTTGAGACCAGCCTGGCCAACATGGCGAAACCTCGTCTGTATTAAAAATACAAAAAGCAGTCGGGTATGGTGGCACATGTCTATAATCCCAGCTACCCAGGAAGCTGAGGCAGGAGAATCGCTCGAACGCAGAGAATCGCTTGAACCCAGGAGACTGAGGTTGCAGTGAGCTCAGATCGCACCACTGCACTCCAGCCTAGGTGACAGAGCAAGACTTCATCTCAAAAAACAAAAAAAAAAACAAAAAAAAGAGGTTCAGTATAAGCGGTGCTTGACGCCGCTGAAAAATCCATAATTACAGTTAAACACTGATTTATGATGCTAGAATTGACACTTAACAAATATTGAAATGAAACTGTACCTGGATATTAGTGCTCTTAAACTCTTATTATTTGGAGCCATATTTTGTCAGAGACTGGCTTGTTGTTCATTTTAGCTTCATGCCTTTTTCTTTCCTTCCAGGTCATACCACCTGACTGTGTCAGGCTCCCTTACAGCAAAGATGACTGTCTTACTGGGTCCTAACCAGTGAACTGTGGGAGGAAGTGATGCATTCACATCCAAGCCCAACCCACAGAAACCCACCTGCCTTCCTCCACTACCTCTCTCTCCTACTGCTGGCAAAGGATACAGCACAGAGCTGCCAAGACCTGGTGAGTGGGGGCCAGAGCTACAGGACAGAAGGAGCCCATGGCCTGGACTCTGCAATTAACTGCTCCAGCAAGAAATAAACATCTATTGTATTGAGCCATAGGCTTTGGAGGTTGTTCTTTAACTCTTTAACTAGTTAAGGTTTCTAAATCTTCTTAGCTTTAATTTCTAAGACAGTGTATACTGACAGATGGAGTCCACATAAACAGAAGTTCTTTGGGGTCCTCAATAATTTTTAAGACATAGAGTCTTAACAGAGGGCCTGAGATCACAAGATTTGAGAACTACTGATGGCCTCTAATGTCCCTCTAACACAACCTGAATCACTCAGAAAGAGGGGAGGCATGGAGGAAGTGCTGGTTTGCCCCATTTGTTTCCTGCGTAATTGCTGTAAGTCAGATGTTGATGCCATCCGGATACTCACTGAAGTGCCTGGACTTAAGATGTCCACCCAAGGGAAAGGAGAACAGGTGAAAAAAGAAGAGCCATGGCTGGGAGGACACAGGAAGGCCACTCGCACAGCCAGCACCCACCCAGGGCATTGCTGGTGTTATTAACAGCAATTAACTCACCTTAACTAATAAATTTAATAACCTTTAACTCTTTGGGCAAATGTTAGAAATGTGTGTTTTACAATGGTTAGTATCAAATTGCTTTTGTAGAAAAGGACAATTGGTTGGACTTTAAAATCCAATTTGACTCTTTCCGCCAGGTGATTCAAGCTACCAAAAGCCAACACCTCTTAGTGACAAGTAGAGAAGAAAAGTGTAGATATAAAAGGAAATAAAAGTTGCACCAACCCTCACCTACAGAATGATGCAACCTGGTAAAGAAGTAAATGTGAGGAGGGGTGTGATGCACTTAGACAAATGTGACTGGATTACAAGCCACAGAAGAATAGAGTTCAAGGGAAGCGTAGCCCAGGATAAACAGCTCTGGTCTAAGAAGGCAAAAATAGCAACGAGCTCAAGGCTACATGAACAGCCTCTTTATTTAAAGACATTATGACCTTTATCCCCCTTGTTCCACTACTCCCCTGGTCCTTCTGTGTTAACCCAGAATTTATGAACCAAGACTTGACATGTTCCCAGCTCAAGTCCCACAGAGGAATTGGAACTACAAAACTTACCATTCTTAAATTCTGCAACTAGAAAGACACACTGTTCTTCTTCATAACATTTCCAGCGGTTCCCACTACAGGAAGTTCCATTAGATTCATAACAAGCAAGGCACTCTGTGTTGCTGGACACATTCTTCCGGGGAGGGTCTGGAACAGTCAGAGTCATTGCTCAGGACAGTGTTATCATACGGAACATGGGAGGAAGGGGATAGGCAAGCAAAGAAACCACCAAGGAGATCCTGAGAACGGAGCAATTACATCCTTGGGAATCTCAGATCTAGCCTTGAAAACACCATGTCCCCTCAAAATATTTATTACACACAGCTCCACAGATCTACCCTTACAGACTATCTAGTCTTCAAGAACTACGGCCATCAGTGTGTTGGGGTATAGACTGAGAAAGGTAAGATTTTGAGCTAAAACCAAACTATAGTCAACATCAACATTAGCCATCATGAACATTTGCCAACAAGCGGGTGACTGTTACCAAATCTTGCTCTGAACAAATAAACACAGGCCATTATTTAACATTATGACTAGAAGAAAAAAATGTATAATGAGACCAGCTCTGCTCTTAATTAACTGTGCTTTACGACCATGGCCAATAAACTTTGCCTTTTCAGCCACATTTTCTGTTTTTCAAAGAGAGCTTTGGTCTAGATCAGCAGGTCTCAAATCGTGGTCCAGGATGTCCTGAGTCCCTGAGACCTTACAGGGAGTGCTGCAGGGCTCACACCATCGTGGTCCAGGATGTCCCAAGTCCCCGAGACCTTACAGGGAGTACTACAGGGCTCAAACCATCATCATGATAATACTAAAATATTATTTACTTATTTCACTCTCTTTCTCTTGTGAACATAAAGTGGAGTTTTCCAGAGGCTCCATGATGCGTGAGACTGTAACAGACTAAATGCACAAGTAAATATGAGAATCCAGCTGTCTTCTATTAAGTCAGAAACTAAAGAATTTGCAAAAAGTATAATAACAATGCCACCCTTCCCATTGTATATGTTTCTTTTGGAAAATATAGTTATATTAATGTTGATGTGTCATGGGTTTTGGTTATTTTGGCGAGCTAGTTACAATTTCTAAATTTTCTTAGCTTTAATTTCTAAGACAGTGCGTATTGACAGGTGGAGTCCACATAAATGAAAGTTCTTTGGGGGCCTCAAAAATTTTTAAGACATAGTGTCTTAACAGACGGCCTGAGATCACAAAATTTGAAAACTACTGATGGGAACTAATGTCCGTGTCGCACAACTTGCAATGTCTGTCTTCACTAAGAAAGAGGGGAAGTGCTGATTTGCCCCATTTGTTTCCTGTGTAATTGCTGTAAGTCAGATGTTGATGCCATCACTGAAGTGCCTGGACTTGAGATGTCCACCCAAGGGTAAGGAGAACAGGTGAAAAAGGAAGAGCCAGGGCTGGGAGGACAGAGGAAGGCCACTCGCATAGCCAGCACCCACCCAGGGCATCGCCCGCGTGGCCAGCACCCACCCAGGGCATCGCCCGTGCGGCCAGCACCCACCCAGGGCATCGCCCGCGTGGCCAGCGCCCACCCAGGGCATCGCCCGCGTGGCCAGCACCCACCCAGGGCATCGCTGGTGTTGCTGCAGTCCTTTCCTTGGCAGCACCGGCTTACAAAACGAAAGTGTTCTGTAGCAGACACGTGGACAGTGAAGGCTGTAACGTGTGTCTCCTCACTGCAGTTCTCCGCGGAGCAGAACATTTTCTGGTATAATCTGATTGCTGTCTCTACACAAAGACAAACACAGACTGTCAGCCCCGACAAGGAGGAGGTGTGGGGAGGGTGGAGACCCGGAATAGCAACTGTTTCAGGCAAAGGCAGAAAATGCAACCTCGGTGTAATGCAGTTTTGAAGATACTGGAGAGGGTTTTCTGGAAAAAATAATAATAATTCTTCCCCATCAGGTAGCCCCTCCTTTGAGCAGGAGACTATCAGAGGTGCAGGTTAAACTCCAGGCAAAAGTGACTGGGAGCCTGAAAATGGGTGGTTCAGGTGGGCAGTCCCTGAAGCCACCAGTAAGTCCTAAGATCTGTAAAAACGATCGAACAGACATGATGAGCCTTATGTACAATATGACATCCACAGTTCCTGCCTAAAAATTGAACCTGAATCCAGTCAAGCTTCTAGCCAGCGCTATCTAATATGGTAGCCACTAGCTATTTGTGCCTATTTAAATTTAAATCTTATTAATTAAAATCAAATCAAATTTAAAATTAAGCTCCTCAGTCAGAGCAGCCACATATGAAGTGCTCAGTGGCCACATGTGACTGCAGAATGGCATGGTGTTAACACAGATACTTCCACCACTGAAGAAGAAAGTACTGCTGGACAGCCCTGATTGCCTACACAGGAAATACTGAGAACAGGAGAGCAAGTTATTTCATACCACTGGGAGCATCAACCACAGCTAGAACATGGGACAGCTACAGGGCAAGTGACCCATTTCTCCAACAAACCAACAGGATTGAACAAAAAATGATGGACGCTCTTATAAAACAAGTTAGGTTTAACAGACCTAACAGCAAAATGGGGGATGTGGCTGGGATCCTAATTCCACACGTAGACCATATCATGACATCTTTGAAACAATTAAGAAATGTTTAAGATGGCCTGGGTATTAGAAGAAATTAAAGAAATACAGTTAACTTTCTCAGGTATGATAACAGTATGTGTCTTAGTTCATTTTGTGTTGCTATACCAGAATAGCATGGATTGGGTAATCTATAAAGAGAATAAATGTATTGTTTACAGTCCTAGAGTCTGCAAAGTACATCAAAGTGCCAGCCTCTGGTGAAGACTTTCTTCTGCATCATCCCGTGGCAAGAGAGGGTGAGAGCAAGTGAGGGAAAGAGGGGGCCAGACTCCCTTTTATCAGGAACCCACCTCCACACTCACGACATTAATGCATTTGCAAGGACGGAGTCCTCATGGCCTAATCACCTCTGAATGTCCCACCTCTTAATGCCATCACAATGGCAATTAAGTTTCAGCATTAGTTTTGGAGGGAATATTCAAACCATAGCAATATGGTAGTTATGTAAAAAAAATTATGATCCGAGATAAATAGTGAAGTATTTATGGAGAAAATGACCAATGACATGTACACACATACACGTATATATGTGTGTGTCATGTCTATTTACATAATGTTTAATTTAAAATACCATAGCCAAAAATACTATAGTAAGAAAAAAAAACTATAGTGAAAAAATAGCAAAATGTTAATAACTGCTGACACAGGTAAGTGGTTACAGGGCAGTTCGTTATACTCTTCTTCCTACTTTAAACATACACGAAGTGCATTTGAATGTGTCCATTACAAAAAAGAAGAAATCTAAGTGCTGTGAGAAAGAGGGTACAATAGTGGTTACGCTCCAAACGCCCTGTGGGGAGGTCTCGAACGAAGGAAAGTATGTTTGATCCAGGAGGGGAGGAACCATGAGGGAGAGATAAAAGGACTGGGAAAAGGAAGAATGAAAGCTTCCAGAGCAAATCTGCCTGGTAATTTAAGAGCTGCCCTTGCTTCCCACATCCACGTACATGCGTCTAGAATGAAGCTTTGTGATCGGGGCATCAGTGTCCAAAACACGAGGGTCTCCCATGTGCTTTGACCCCGTGTTCTTGTCTGGCTCCTGCTTGTCTCAGCCGTGCGTTGTTTCTCCTGGGAGTCACCTTTGTGGTTTCCTCTCTCCTTGGACAGCATGTCCCCATCTCTGCCTTTCTTTCCTGCCTGGACGTCGTCTCCAGCTCCCTCCCGGTGCAAGCCCCAGAGGCGGGAAGGACACGCACACCCCGGCTCACCTGGAGAGGAGCTGGCTGAGGAGCTGACACAGCTGGTGCTGGCGTGTGAGGGACATTCAGAGGCAGTGCTGTTGACACAGGATCGTTCCCATGAATTACACTGCACACAGCTCAGAGATTCTGAGGACACAAGACGTCCAACACCAGTCAACATTCAGTAGACATTTATGGAGCAGACTCTACTCTAGGAAAAGCACTGCTCCCACCTTGCAGTAAGAGACAGGTGGGATGGCATCCCTGCCCTCTGGGGATCCCTGAAATTGATGCTGTAAGATGAGCCACCCTAATGAGTTTCTCCCACTGCTCACTATTCCCCAGTGGAAAGATCCAACTTTCAACAACAATACAGAGTGGCCCCTTGAAAGCAGGCTGCACAGACAGGTCTCGTGGTCATCACTAACCATAATTTAACATGCGAGGCCCTCGGGGCTTTGAGAGCAAGAAGACACTGGTGAGGTGGAAAAGAGGGTCTCCATCCTAAAAAGGGGCCACGTGAGTTCTCTTACCTACAGCTGCAACAACAAGCACTGCAGTGATACCAGCGACGAGGACGCCCTTCATGGTGCTGGAGCTGACTTCTCCCAAGGATGGGGACCTCAGGGCCTGGACCCTGAAGAGACACAAAGAAGGCAGCCACGGGGCCTTGGAGGGCTGCCTGTCATCCCCTGCGGGTTTCAATCACACTGTAACAAGCCCAGTACTCAGTTCATCCTTGTGGCAGAAAGAATCAAAATCCTGAGCTGGGAGCACAAAGCTGACTCCACCCTGCTGCAGACAGAGGTCCGAGTTTCCTGAGTCTCCGCCTGCAGAAGCATCTACACGGGGGTGGGAAACACAGCCAGGGGCCGTTTCCCGTGGGGCCAAGTCAGTTGCAAAATGTGCGGGCCCATGAATTTTTAGTTTCACTTTGGGGACGGGGTCCAAGAGGAAAGAGCTGGGCTGGGGTCTGTGCCCCTCCCTCCCCCAGAGCACAATGTCCCTCCTGCAGCCAGTCTGTCACTGCATCCGTATTTTACACTTAGGGGTTCTGTTGCTGCCACCCGCCACCACCTCCGCAATAGGCAGACATTTGTTGAGCACTTACTCCATTCCAAGCACTTTACAGGTGTTAATTTATGTAATTCATCTACTGTAGCAGGCAGGTACCATTGTTAGCATCCTGAGAAAAATCAAGCCTTAGAAGGATTGGGTATTGCACTGAAAGTCAAGGTCTTACTTCTGGGAGGTATCAGAACTGGAGTTTAGCCTGTGTCCCTAACCGCCAGCCCACACTGCCTTCCACTGTTCCCACAGTCCTGGGCCTGCCTGCAGCACTAAATGAGAGTTCGCCTTGCACTTCCGAAGAGTATGTCACCAATCTCTCTGCACCTTGCCTTCCCTGCCTGCAGATTGTCTGAGGCGTGGCACGTTCATTAGAATTCGAAAGAACTCCCAGAATTCCAACTTGCTTGTGTATCAAAGCAGCAGAGAGCAGGTGTGTGGCTCTGGCCTGAGCCCTTCTGGATCATTATCTCATTTACTGTATACACGGTCGCTGTGAGCCACTCATGGCTATTTACGGTTCTTTGATTCTTCCAGGGTAGATAAAATGAAACATTCTGTTTCTCAGTAGCACTGGCTACATTCCCAACGCTCAGGGGCCACATGTGGCTGGTGGCCGCGGTGTTGACCAAGGCAGGCACAGGACACTCCTATCATTGCGGGAGTCCCGGTGGACAGTACTGTACGGCAGAGGCTATTAGCCCCACTCTACAGGCAGCAAAACTGCAGCAAAGAGGGATAGCGAAGTAGCCCAAGCTCGCTCGGCCTAGAAGGCCAAAGCCGTGCTCTATTCTAGGTCCTTCCAGCTCCAAAGCCAGGGTGCACCGTAATAGCTGCTACTTATGAAACAGAATCGCCTTCGTCTGGAAGCCCCTACTCCCACCTCACCACACATAGGCACATCACACCACACACACACACCACACCCCACACAACACACACCACCCCACCACAGGCACACTCAAGAATTGGCCATACTGGCCACACCACACCCCCACATAAATACACATACAATTACACTTGCCATTGCACCACACCTACACAAATAATACAATTAAGCACTAACACACACCCTCCATAATACACACACACACCACACCCCACACAAATACACATAAGCACCACATCACACACACTACATCCCACACACCCCACACAACACACCACACCACACCCACAAATACATACCACACAACATGACACCGCTTACACCCACATAACACACACACACCACACCACACACCCTTACACAACACATATACACCACAATCACACACACCACACAATTACCACACCCCACACAACACACACACACCACACCTTACACACACCCCACAACACACACTACATCACACACACCACACACCCCACACACCACACACCCTACACAACACACACACACCACACACACCCACACACAACACACACACACCATGTACGCACACACACCTGTTACCACCACACACCAGCATCACACACACCCCACAAACACACAGCACATCACACACACCACACATCATACCACATCACACACACTACATCACACACACCACACATCACACACACACCACACAACACACATACCACATCACACACACACCACACATCACACACACACCACACATCACACACACACCACACACACCACATCACACACACACCACACATCACACACACACACCACATCACACACACACCACACACCCTACAGTGATACCCTGGTTGACTTATTAGAGATTGGTAAAGAGGAAGGGAAACCAGTTGGTGTGGGAGAAGAGGACCATCCATGATGCCAATGACCCCACCATTTAGATCCAAGGAGGAAAATAAAGCACGTCTGGTCTGGAGCTTGTAGCAAACATGCGACAGCCCTGCACCCCTACATGCCCGGGCACACCCCTTCAGGCCCAGGCACCCCTACATGCCCGGGCACCCCCCTTCAGGCCCAGGCACCCCTACATGCCCGGGCACCCCTACATGCCCAGGCACACCCCTTCAGGCCCAGGCACCCCTCCAGGCCCGGGCACCCCTCCAGGCCTGGAGCCCCAGGTGCTTGCTTTTCTCCTCAGTGGGAAAAGAGTTTCAGGGGCCTGGCCTTCTGGGAAAAGGCCTCTCAAGCCTTATAGGGTGATGGAGGAGGGGAAAGGAGAGGATGAGATGAGATGAGAAGGAGATCCCAGCAGCACATCAAGTGCACACATCACCTCAGCCTATGGTGAAGACCTGACACTAGCCTCATTTTCAGGGAGAAATGCTGGAGGCCCAGAGAGGTCAGGACCTGACCCAGGGGCACACAGCAGAGAAAGAGCCTGGGAGTGACCCCATAGCAGGACCCAGAGCCATGCTCACCACCTCTGTGGGTAAGAGGGACCAGTGAGGCTGGGGTCAAGGCAGGGCCCCCCACCTGGGACAGGAGAAGAAGTGGCATCTGAGGCTGTTTCACTAGGTACTTCCCATGTGCAAAGTTTTACTGTGGAATCTTTTCAACAGCCTGGCAGGGTCCTGCTATAATTGCTTTCATCTTTCACAGAGAAAGCTGGAGCTCAGAGAGGCTGTGAGGACACAAAACCACACAGAATGAAGGATACCACACACAGAATGACGCACAGAAGACACACACACACTCCACACAAACCACACACAGAATAGCAGATGGAAAAACAACAAGAAAACTACATCCCCAGCCCACATCCTCCCTGAACTCTGGACTCCCCTCTTCTGAGCATATGACTGCCTAGGGCAATGCCAAAGGAGCAAGGGCCACAAGAAGTCCTGGACCTGGCCAGGGAAGGGCCTGAGCTGGTCCTGAATGCCCTTCCTGTGGTTTCAGCTTCTCCCAGGGCTCAGGCCCTGGCCTTGCAGTCCTCTCACCTTCTGGATCTGGCCTGGTGATTGTCCTACAGAAGGAGGATCCCGGTAGAAGCTTAGTGCTGGTGTGGGAGAGGCCTTATATAGCAGGTGGCCGTACAATCAAAAGGCACAGCTTCTTCTGGGGAGGGACCTCTGGGTCAGACAGGTTGAGGCTTCTGGCTGTCAGACTGTGCCCTGGCCAATAGGGCCAGCCCTTTGGCATCTGTGCAGACAGGCTGAGGCTTCTGGCTGTCAAACTGTGCCCTGGCCAATAGGGCTACAGGCTGCTCAACCCTTTGGCATCTGTGCAGCTCGTGTCCTCTCTCAGACCTCTAGGAATTGGGAACAACTTTGGTCAAGGCCTGCCTTTGGCAGAATGTAAAGAGGAGTAAGTTATCTTCCGCACTCTCCCAGTCTCCTCACACTGTGCCATGGGTGCTCCTGGTTTTGAGTGTGGACCTGAGTTATCTTCCCTCCTCATCTTTACACTGTCCTGGCACTTTACACACACACTCACGGTGGGGAGTGGCGGGAGCCCACTCATCCGAGGATGCAGAGGTTGAGGGGTACATATCATACCAGTGTCCCCCAGCCTGCGTTTAAACCTTGCAGTTCCCTGCTCTTGAAAATACCCCTTGGCGATGGCTACCCTACCGTGTCTCAACTCTCTCTTCCTTCCCCAAACTCATGTTCATTCAATAAACATTTTTTGAGCACCCTCCGTGTCTTAGGCCTACTATAGGAAACCGGGAGGTATTTGTGAGCAAAAAGACAAAGACCTTTGCCCTCCTGGAGTGTAGTCTAGAGAGGGCTACAGACAGCATAAATTAAAGTGGTAGATAAGCAAATCACAGGGAAAGTCAGAAGGTGGTGACTGCTCTGGCAAAAAGACAGAGTAGGATGAGGCATTCCACTTTTAATGAGGAGGCTGTAGTCGGTCTGATGGAGAAGACAAAATCGGAGTTATTTTTATAAGAAGAGACTCTGGCCATCTCTTTTTCTCTCAGTCCTCACCATGTGCCTTCAGGCTGCTTATCACAGCATTTTCCTTAAAAAAAGGCAGCTTCCTCCCTAACAGAACCATATCGTTTCCCACCACACATTAGTCAGTCACCTGGCGGGGCACAAGAGAAGTGGCACAGTCATATCCAATGGGGTGTGTGTGGGTTTGCAGGTTTCGTGAACGTGGCCTCCCTGAGCCACAGATGGAGGGCCCGACGAGCCCACGAACACTGTTCTGAGAGAACAGCTCTGGTGTCAGACTGAGTCCTGACACGGGAAAATCGGGTTGATCAGTATTAATTCCTCTCAGAAGGCACCAGATACTCAGGCAAATGGATGCAACACAACCACAAAGATCTGAGTCTGAATCCAGACTTTGTCCCTCACATCACATGAGTTACTTATTAACCTCACTCGTTGGGCCAAAGCTCTTTGTCTTTAAAATGGAATCATCAGGCCCTGAAGAAATGCCTCCTGATGATTTATATACTCCTGGAATCATCACCCCATTCCTCTGTTTTTTCCAAGGCCATCTATCTATCAGTAATATCCTGAGGATGCCTACCTCATGGGGAATTATTATTAACATCATGTATGATTTTAACTGGGCCCATTTATCAACAAGGACACTGAAGATAATGGAAGCCCCCTGAACTAGGCTGCGCAGTCTACATGGCTGCTCACAGCAGTCCTGGGTTTTGAGGCCGCAGGCAGTGTGCCAAGGGTATCACCAGCTGCCGTGACAGATAAGGAAACAGGCCCAGGAAGGCCTTCCATATAGGCCTTCAGACACCTGGGCCAGCAATCTTCCCATTTCAACATGGCTGATATGGGATGCAGCCTCCACCCATGGGATTGGAGACATTGACTAGACTCCCCTCGTCCCTCCTCCAGGGGTTCACTTCTCTGTCATCAATGTGGGGTCCAAGGACCGGAATTAGTCACAGGGAATTATGAAAAAGCCCTCCTCTAAAGCAGACTCCTCCTGACTAGCCAAGAAGTCCAGAGACCCAGGAGAAGCTACGTCTCAGCAAGCAGCCCAACTTTTAAACTAACAAGCCCTGGGCACACCTCAGGCAGGCTGGTGCCATCATCTTTTTAGAAGAGGACAAGGTTGCCTGTCCTTACAACCTGCTGAGCTGAGGCAAACCTGGAGCTCAACCAAGTCCCAGCAAGTCATCCAGTGCTAAGTCTGGAACCACTCTGAGAAATGGCGCTTTCCCAAAGTTTCCCTTGATGATCAGCGAAGCTTGGAGGTGAGTTTCCAGAGGAGTCCACCCATTTTGGAATAAGCGTGCGGAGGTGTGTAGGGTCAGGTCAGGGAAGCCAGAGCAGGAATTGTATCCAACAGGAGTCCAAGCCAAAAACCCAGCAAAAGGATCAAGGGCATCCACCCCGACCCGCCTTCTCTCTGTGTTTGCTTCTGGGACCCTTTCATTGTCTAGCTTATTCCTCCAGCTTGGAGATGTGAGAACAGGCTAAAAAGAATGAATTATTGACCCCAACATTCCTGTCTCCCCCTCCCCCAGTCACCTTGCAGAGGAAATGAGCATGTCCTGGAAGATAAACTTCCCCAATCGTCCGTGGCCTTATGTAAGATGATGATCCCCTGAGTCTTGGGTTTCCCATCTTTCAAGTGGCAAAAACGGCGCTACTGCCTGAGAAGCTATTCTGAAGGTTAAAGGAGGTCACACAAGCAGACGATGAGGAGAAACTATCACGTCATACAGGCTCTACAAACAATGGCTACTGCTGCTATCATTGTTCTATGAGCTCATATCAGTGACTGCACAGCCCAGAGGGGCTTTCATATCTGCACAGGGCAATGGTCTCAGGTGAGGTCCAGCCTCAGAACACACTTCTACCACAATTAGATACACTTCATGCCCACTAACACGAATAAAATCAAAAAGAAAGAAAGAAAAAGAGACAGAGAAAGAAAGAGAAGGAAGAAAGGAAAATTGCAAGTGTCAGGATATGGAGAAACTGGAACCTTCATACATTACTGGTAGGAGTGTAAAATGGTGCAGCCACTGTGGAAACAGTTTGGCAGTTCCTCTGAGAGTTACCAATGACACAGCAAATCCACACCTAGGTATATACCCAATATAATTGAATGAAAACAACTGTTTATACAAAAACTTGTACATGAATAATCATAGCAGTATGATTAGACTTAATTTACAAGCATATATATATATATATACACACACACATATGAAAGTTATGGGTGCATGTTTATACCCGTAACTTTCTTCACCTCTTTCTTTCCCACTTCTGGTTCTTTTTACCTTTTCAAGTAAATGACTTTAAAATGACTTCCAAATCACACAAAATTATTGTTTATAAAATGCAATTTACAGAATTATATATTAATTAGAATTTTTATTTCTAGTAATCTTAAGTTTTAGGGAAAACGAGAAGCAAGAAATCTGAACTGTATGTCAGATGTTAGCATTTTATACATAAAATTATTTCACAATTTCAGAACCATGTTTTCTCATATAATAATTATTTATATTGGAAATGACCCAGACATTCAATAAGCATTTGTTATTTAATTTAAAATAGTGTTAAGATTTTACATTACACAAAAAGTCCACTTATAGGTATTTATCTCATTTACATGTATTTAATTAATTTATTTTTTAACAATTTAGATTACTTTTGAAAACCAAGGTATTATATAAAGTTAGTTATTATCTAAAGTTATTTCCCTAATAACCACAGAGGTCAATATAATATTTATTGATTTAGACAGAAATGTATGCTGATGACTCTAAAGACATTTTTATTATTTTAATAATAATTTTTGAAGCCAGTTTTATTTATCAAAGATTCACATGAACTTGAAAACTGTTTAGACTTAATTTATGAGTAGTCGTTTACTTATATGCCAATTTGGTAGCAAGACAAGTGAAACAAAAAGCTGGTTCTTTGAAAAGATAAATAAAATTAATAGACCACCAGTGAGATTAACCAAAAAAAAGAAAACAGAGGATCTAAATAAGCTCAATTAGAAACAAAACAGGAGATATTGCAACTGATACCAGAGAAATACAAAAGACCATTCAAGGCTACTATGAACATCTTTACATGCATAAACTAGAAAACCTAGAGGAGATAAATAAATTCTTGGAAATATACAACCCTCCTAGATTAAACCAGAAAGAAATAGAATATTTGAACAGACCAATAACAAGCAGAGAGATTGAAATGGTAATTCTCTTTTAAAAATGCCAATAAAAATAAGTCCAGGACCAGACAAACTCACAGCTAAATGCTATCAGACATTAAAAGAAGAGGTGGGCGCAGTGGCTCACACCTGTAATCATGACACTTTGGGAGGTCAAGGAGGGGTGGATAACTTGAGGCCAGGAGTTCAAGACCAACCTAGCCAACATGGCGAAACCCTGTCTCTACTAAAAGTACAAAAATTAGCCAGGCATTGTAGCACACACCTGTAATTCCAGCTATTAGGGAGGCTGAGGCAGGAGAGTTGCTTGCACCCAGGGGATGGAGGTTGCATTGAGCTGAAATTGTGCCACTGCACTCCAGCCTAGGTGACAGAGTAAGACTCTGTCTCAAATAAATAAATAAATAAATAAATAAATAAATAAATAAATGGTACCAATCCTGTTGACACTATTACAAATAGTAGAGAAAGATGGAATCCTCCCTAAGTCATTCTATGAAGCCAGTATCACCCTGATACCAAAACTAGTAAAGGATGTAACTGAAAAAGAAAACTACAGACCAATATCCCTGATGAACATAGATGCAAAAATCCTCAACAAAATACTAGCTAAGCAAATCCGATAGCAAATCAAAAATGTAATCCATCACGATCAAGTGGGTTTCATACCAGGGATGCAAGGATGGTTTAACATATGTAAGTCAATAAATGTGATACACCACATAAACAGAATTAAAAACAAAAATCAATCACATAATCATATCAATAGATGCAGAAAAAGCATTTGACAAAATCCAGTATCCCTTTATGATTAATACCCTCAGCAAAATCTACATAGAAGGGACATACCTTAAGGTAAGAAAAGCCATCTATGACAAACCCACAGACAACATTACACTGAACAGGAAAAATTGAAAGCATTCCCCATGAGAACTACAACAAGAGAAGGA